CAGCGGGGCGTCCGCCCGAGGGAGCCCCCGGCGCCAGCGGCGACGTGCCCGTCGAGTGGCGCCGCGACTTGCGCCGCTCGGACATCGAGTCGTTCAGCGACTTGCGGTTCCTCAGCGTCTTCCTGCCGGCACGGACAGGAAGAAGTAGTGCCACAAATTTACATTTTGGTTTTGGAACCCTCCGCAAAGCTGCAAGGATTTTAATGATTCGCAGTCAATGCATTATTTTCAAAACGATTCTCTAGGGCTCTTTTATTGTTGAACATCGATATCATGAATTCGAAAAATGTCCTACAGACTTCATGTTCAATATTTAAGGAATCTGAAAATAGAGTTTACAGCACCCACTGCAGCCACAGTTCGGAACAATTTCCATATTACATGCCTAATGTGATCGATTAGTATGTGAGCGATTAGTATGTGATACGGTAAGTCTTTTGGTAGGGATTTGGCTCTTGCGCAAAGGCTGAAAAATGGTATACGCTATACACAGAAGTACATTAACGTACTTCTCGCTAAGCAAAAGCTTTCGAGATCCAGAGACCAAAGATGATGACGGAATTAACGTACTCCTCTTGGTATAAATGCACATAATCATGTTAAATGTAATGCATGCAAAAGTACACGATGGAAAACTTGTTTTCCTGTTATCACAGAACACAGAAGTTAACGTGGTACCCGAAATAATCTTCTACAATTCAAAATTGTTCCTTGCAATAAGGAAAAAAGTCAAAATGATATAATTTTGTTTACGATCTTTCGGTTGACTTTTCACAATAATTTGGTGAGGAGTGACGTAGTGTGCTTCAATAGTTGCGTGGGAGTTTAGTCAACACACACTGTTGTGAAGAAATTATATCTGTGAGAAGGATATGAATAAATTATAAACAGTTTCCATTATTTACACTGCTTGCAAGAAAGCGCGCAAGGGATTCTTTTCCTGAAGTAGATGCTCTGTGTGTTTAATAATCTTTAATAGTTGGAAAAAAACATTAATACGTTTAATGATACGTCGATAATAAGTACAAAGATAGTTATCAAGAAGCATCTGTCATAATTTATGTCGCACTAAATATAAATTAGCAAGTTAAAAAGTTTACGGAAGGTAAATGAGAATTAACAAAATTCGTGATGAATTCGAGTTATCCAGGTTCTACTGTACTAATTCCTAAGTCACTGGTGTTCTATGCAAACTCGTATTGGCAAGGGGCAATTACGAAACACCGTACGTCAAAAGAACTATAGTAATATGCTTTTTTGTAGAACCTACATTTAAAATGAAACGCAAGACGCGTCCTATCCGAGCCTCCTCACCTGATGTTCTCGTCCAGCTGCTTGAGGGGAGAGCCTCTTTCCTCGCCGTCCTCGTGGTGCAGCACGGCCTCGTAGATCTGAAGCTGGCGCAGGAGGTCCAGGTCCGTGCCTTGCTTCGACATGTACCTGCGCACGCCACAGCGCTCCGCCTCAGCATGGGCGACGTGCGCCCGACGCCCAAGAGCGACGCCCAAGGGCGCAGGGCGGCGCGCGGGCGGCGCGGGCGGCGCGGGCGGCGCGGGCGGCACAATTTGCCGCATCTTCCCTCGAGAACCTCTGAGCGTCGACTAGCGTAAAGGAGAGTGACGGACTACGGGGTTATGAATCCACGCGCGTAGTTCTGTCGTCGGACTCACCCCACCCCTCTGCCTATGTACAGAGTGACGTACGCGCCCGGCCCGTGAGGTCACTCTGCGTCGTACTACGTCTGCTAACAACTTTCCCTGCAGGAGTGGGGGGAAGGGGTGAAGGGGAGGATCTTCAACGCCATTCCATTATTCCAGTTTCACTGTTAAGCAGAGAAAGCGTAGTACCCTACGTAAAATGAAGATAATAAAACGTAATATTTGTACTAGACAAATAAAAACTTCGGTATGGAATGCATTCTGTACATTTTAATTTATTCTTCTCCCTTAGTTTTAAAATGGAATATGACATCTCTTAAATAAGTTAATGTACAATAGGGGCTTTAGCGAGTAATTGCAAGTTTTAAATGTAGAAATAATCAACTAATTGTAATAATTTAATTACCATGGCAGCAAGTATAAGCGTATTATAATTATTCTCTAATAATATAATTTATAGTAAATATCAATATTAATTCACAACTTGTTTTAAAACCCAAATTAACATAGTTTCGAACTCCTGGCTCCTATTCAGCAACTAACAGAAAAAATTTGCTAGTTTGTTAGGAAAAAAATAACTAAAGCTAATAGGAATATAAGACAGCTTTCCTCAAAGTCGTTGCAAATTGATAAAGAAAAGTGAACGGAATCTGCAGTTTTCACAAGGTAATATGAATGCAAACTATGAATGACTCGGGAACTCTTCGCCACCAATATTTCCAAGGACCTCTCTTGTTGGCGCCTGTGTCTGCACAACACGTTCGAATACGTCATTGAGTGGAATCCTCAAGTACTGTTATAGGATTGAATCGATATGTGTCGTCTTGAAAACAAACAAGAGATACTGAGTGTATCACAAAGTTGTATTTCGTGAAATCATTCACGGAGTAATCGATCCCCTATCTACTCTCAGGATACTCATAAGTATTTTCTCATAAGAAATTTCTCATAAGTATGAGTCAAAATAGCATTTCACGCCATGAATTTCCGATGACTAATTATGAGATCTATTCTCGGGAAAGATTTGTTTAAAGCTCGAGTAATATGTGCAATATGCATGTTGAACAATTATACACATCTGCACATTTTATTTAAATATATTTAGAGAAAAAGAAACAATTCAGCAATGTTTTAGTATCCCAATGAATAGCCACGTTGTTAAACATTTTTAAAGCAATGCCAATATTAGTTCTAGACAAATCAATGTTGATGATTTCGAACCTTACTATATGACTACTTAAAACAGCGTGGAACAAAGAGTAGTGAATCATCAACTGAGGTATAAAGTGAGGCGAGATTAGGTTAGGTGGCATCATGTAAATATAAATATATGACATAGTGCAACTCGAACTACCCCTTGTCTCGTACTAACCTTAGGAACTTCCCATCAGCAATATGATTCATGTTTATTAGACAATATCTGCTATTCCTTGTATTGTAACGTACTTCACCTATTCTATCCACGTCATGTTGACTAATGTCAACTTTATTCGGCTAAAATGCGAAGTATACTTCGAAGCTGTGCCCACATCAGTCCTTACCTACCCCATTTTGGATAAAGTAAACATAACACAGCTAATTCGTAAATTAGTGAGATTCGGGCATTCGCCGAAGTATGTAGGCGCGTTCGCGCACTGCAAGTGTGGTTTGGGTTGGATTGGTACCTCTGCACGGCGCCCTCCATGCCCTGCTCCTCGAGGGCGTCCACCTGGTCGTAGTAGGTGTCCTGGTCGGGCACGCCGTTCAGGGTCTTGTTGATGAGCGTCGTCGCGTAGATCAGCAGTTCGGTGTCGGCCGCGTCGTAGTCCTTCAGCAGCTTCATGATGTTGTTCCAGGCTGGCACCCCTGCAACCAACCGCGCTGTCAGGCACGTGCGAAACGCTCAAGTATTAAAAATGAAAGCTCCTTCGAGCTTTTGACTAGCTTAGGGAGCTTAGTTTACTGATTTTTCTAAAAGAGTGTTTTAATTCGATGTGTATTAACAAAATGAATGGAGAAACGTGACACCATGAACTCACGTGGGATATCCTTTGCAGAAATAAAACTAACAATCGTTCAGTGAGGCATGTGCATGTTATATATTTAAGAGGAAAAGAGAAGAAGGAATTTGAGTCATCAAGAAGTTCCGAGATTCCAAAGAATTCGAGATACCAAAAATTTCGAGTTACCAAAAAAATCGAGATATCAAAGAATTCAAGAATCTAAATATTTTGAAACATCAGCGAATTCGAAATTTCAATGGACTTTAGATATAAAATTATTCGAAATATCGCTAATCGATTTATTGGAGATCATCTGTAAGGAAGCGAAGCCAGCTATGCCCACGTACCGTGCAGCTTGTCGACCGCCTGGATGGCCTTGATGAGGAGCAGGCAGTTGGTCTCCACGTACTCCACGAACACCAGCAGCAGCTTGAGCGCCGTCTTCACCACGAGCCGGTACTTGCTGGCGATGAGCGTGTACAGCCACTGCACCGTCTGGTTGTGCTCCATCACGCCGTTCATGCCGTCCACGTACAGCATCACCTGCCCCAGCGCTGCGGACAGGCCGGAGCACGCGCTCGCACACGCACGCACGCGTGCAGGAGGAAGAAGACGCGCGTGACGCAACGGGTTTTGCGCGCGCGTCGCTCGCAGCGTGCGCGAGTTGCAACACGCTGAGGCTACTTCTGGACATTTGAAAGGCTCCGAGAGATTTTTGACAGTTCAAGCCACAGTATAAACTTACAAGAGCAGCGATTAAAAAAAAGTTTATAAACGCCGAGATTTTCAATAAAATATTAAATTTAAAAAATTCGCAATCACAATTGATCTGCAATTTTAAATATTTTAAGCACGAAAGACAAAAAATCTATGGGGGAATTAAAAAGAAGATGCATTTATTTTGAGCAATAAAGTCCATTCACAGCGAAAGCGCTTAATTTCCGGAGTTCACTTGTAACGTATTAATAGCACGTACATGGAGGTAATTTAGAAGTGGCGAAATTCTGTCACGAAAGCTAAGTAACTAATAAACTGCCCACATATTACACAGCTGATGTAGGATTAGTGCCAAACTATAATTTATACTTCTATTTATAGATGCCTAATTATTGATTTACTTACATTTTAACTTAGATTGTCATATTTGTTACTTTTATAAAGCTTAGGTAAAGCTTACTTTTTGTGGTCGTGTCTTGAATTCAAATGAAAGAATCTAAGTAACACAAATACATAATGAGCTAAGAGTGCTTAGCGCATTAAATTCTGCTCTGATCAGTGGATACCAATTCTTCTGACAGACTTTGAAAAACAGTTTAAAAATATAACTTCAAGAATGCAAATTATTATGAATCAGAAACCGTATTTGAAATTGAAAAAAACATTCTTCTAGTTTATCAAATACTCATTGTTTTCTATCGACTAGTTCTTCGCCACCTTCAAATTTGGAATGTTGTATCTTCACTGAAGGAACAGCACTAAACATTATGAACACCAAGTATATTTAAATTTCACTGAAAACAAGGACGCATCAAACGACCATACTTAATAATTTGATATTCATAACTTTTGATAGTTTGTATACATTTATCTTAAAAGAGTTATCGATAAAACGGGTTCTCATGACACCAACGGGAATAACATCAGAGTTTGTATGATAATTTACTGGCCCTGGAGATGTAGTGTACAAGTGATCTAAAATTTAGTTTTTTTGTCTCTTTTTAAATTAACTTTCATACATGTATATTTGAACAAATATCTTACTTATCAAATATTCTGTTGGCACAAAAAGGTTTGCCGCTTTTTTTTGCCAAAAAAATGAAATCTTCTTGCAATCAGGGCCTTCAGAAAAGTTAGTGGAGGGAAAAATCAATGCATAAACATCGTTATTATTAAAAAGAAACATCGGATGCATCATTAAAGTATTACATTCGCCCAGTCTGTAGCATGTATTTTTACAGCCGTTTGTCCAGTGAAATTTACGCAAGATGGACATATAAAAGCGGCAAACTCACCTCTCAAGATGTAGTTTTGGTAGTTCTGGTCGGCCTCCGACCCCACCTTAATGAGGCAGGCCAGCCCGTCATTTTGGACGAACTCGTGCACCAGATCCTTATCTTCCTGCAACGAGACCGGTCGTGGGCGCCTTAGCGACAGAAGATCGCCCCGAATGCGGATTGCGAAACTATCTGGCGTAGTGAAGCTTGTTACCTGGCGAACGTTTGCAACTGCGGAACTTCTCATATGAAGTATCCTGTAATGCGCCTTGCACCTTCAGCGCCGCGTCCTGTACCAAGGGCTAGCAATGCCATGTCAACATGACCTCGCCGGGTGCCATCACATTCACCAGGGCCAGTCGTATCTTTCTGGCGCGCCGTCCCTAAGTGCACCACTCCGCGCTGGCTCGCGGCACCACACTTGCTGCCGCACGAGTGCGAGGGGGACACGCGGCGGGACACGCGGGCGGACACCCGGCGCGGAGAGACGCGCGCGGAAGGACGCGGCGGGAGACCGGGCGGGAGAGACGCGGCGAGAGACGCGGGCGAGAGACGCGGGTCGGATAGACGCGGAGCGGAGATACGCGGAGCGGAGAGACGCGGCCGAGAAGACCGCGGGGGAGAGACGCGGCGAAGAGACGCGCGGAGAACGCGCGTGGGAGACGCGGGGGGGAGCCGGAGCAGAGACCGGCGCGGAGAGACGCGGCGACGGGACGCGGGCAGGGACGCCTCGGGAGACGCTTCGGGAGACGCGGCGGTGGACGCGGGGGAGACGGGCGGCGGTGACCGGGCGGCTCCTTGGCGGGC